ATCTGATTGTAGATTTAGGTATTATCTAGTTTAGGACTAGATAGGACTCCTAAGTGCCAGGTTTGAGTCATAGAGTCCGGTATATTGACCGGTTAGGTCTGATTAGTTGGGATTTGACTCAAACGGGTTGGTTTAGGGGTTGGTTAAGTCTAGGATCACTAGGTATAGGTCTGTAGGGGTCGGTTTAGATCAGGGCAGGTCTGTAGGAGTTGGTCTTAGGCGTTTATAGGGTCTGATCAGATTAGAATTAGGTCAATTAGGCTTAGTTCAGGTCTGATTAGGTTGCTAAAAGTCTAATCAGGGGTTGGTAAGTCAATAGGGGTTGGCTTAGGTTTGATGATTAGGACTTTTAGGTGATTGACTAGGACTTAGGGTCATCTAATCAGGGGTTGGTCGACTAGGGTTGGCATAGGTCTGATTAGGGTAGTGTGATGGTCTAGTCGGGACTTTTGGTTGTCTAGCTAGGGTTGTTAGGATCTAGGTAGCACTTGGGTAGGTCTGATTAGGATTTTATGAGGGGCCGGGTAGACTCGGGATCGTAGGACTGGTTAGGACTGTGTTGGGGGCCATGTAGACTCGGTGTTATAGGTCTGATTAGACGTAATCAGGTCCGGTTAGCCTTAAGTTAGGTCTGGTTAGACGTAATCAGGTCTTAAGGTAGGCTGTGTTTCGAGTCTAATAGGTCGGTTAGGCAAAATTATGCCTAGGGTAAGTCCAATCAGGTTTGTGCGAGAGTCTAGGAGGTCGGTTAGGTAGAAATATACCTTGTGTTAAGTCCAATCAGGTCTGGTCTAGAGTGTGTTAGATCCGTTTAGGTAAGATGTACCTAGGGTGTTGTCCGGTTAGACTTGGTATAAGGTCCACTAGATCGGTTTAGGTTAAGTGCCTAGGTTAAGTCCGGTCAGGTCGTATTCTCTAGGTCTTGTAGGTCTGATTAGGTAAAGACGTACCTAGGATTAGGACCGATAGACTAGGGTTGGAGCGTGTTTAAGCACGGCTAGGTAGAAATATACCTAGGGTTAAGTCCTCTAGGGTTCGGTCTCATCCCTCGTGTCATGTTACATCACTCCTAGGGTCGGTTAAGTCTCTTCCGGGTAGGGTCAGTTTTAGACTCTTGTTATATCGTCTTAGGATGATGGAGTTAGATTGTCTAGCTCGGTATACCCCGAAAGGGGTATGGTGGAAGGACTAGAGGTCTCGGACAAAACCCGAGAAATCGGGTTGCAAGAGTAGGCCAATGACCAGGTGGAGTGAGTGGTTCCGCGGGTAGGTAGGGACATCGTAGGATGATGGAGTTAGATCGTCTAACTCGGAATACCCCGAAAAGGGGTATGGAGGAAAGACTATGGGTCTCGGGCAAACCCGAGAAATCGGGTGTAGGAGTAGGCCAAGGACTAGGTGGAGCTTCCTCGGGTAGGATGCTCAGGAGATGGTGCGAGCAGGGAGGTGTCGGGTTAGCACCGGGTAGAGTCGGTGTAGGTTGGCGCTAGGACACTCCCTCGAGGTGGAGCACGTGCACTCACGTGTCTCTTATTCTCGGTGGAGCATCGTAGATGACTAGGAGCGTCTTCGCGGGACAAAACCGTAAGACAATTCTAGTTGGCAGGATAGGGTCCGAGGGTAGAAGTCGTATACCTATAGGTAGTATAGACTTCACGGGGATCCGGGCTAGGTATCTAGCGGGTTTCGGGAGTATGACTCAGGTTAGTCTCGGGAAAGTCGGGATAGACTTAGGAGACGGGGTAGACGTCGGGTATAATCCTCGGGTTAGCTAGCGGGTATAGTCTTGGACTTTACTAGGAGGGTTAGTTGACGGTCTAGGGAGTCATACAACCGAGGGTAGCGCTTGCCGGTCGGGCAACGCGGGATAGGACTTCGGTTAGAGTCTTATCGGGGTGAACGTTCTAACACGTTTACCGAGTGTTTCAGGTTTGGATGAGCTGTTCGGTGGCGGGATAAGGCGACGAGGCCACGAGGAGTCATCGACGGGAGCTTCATCAGGTTCAAAGGCAGCGACATGCGACTAATTCCGGTACTATAGGTAAGTCAGGTAAGTAAGGTAAGTTTGCTTTAAATTCCGACGAAAGTCGAGGGATCGACGAAAGTCGATCGGTGCTGCAAACGGCGAATTCCACTAGTGTTTATTTTGTTATTATTCTGTTTTTCGTTCCTCTTTCTCCACCAAGGTGGAGATTGTTGGGCTTGGCCCATGGTCTGGTGGAAAAGTGGACACTCTCTTTGCAGCGGAGGTTTTCGGTTAACACTAAACCGAGCGGGTTTTTTAATCCCAGACCGAAACGATGCGTTTTGGTGATTTAGGGTTAATACCCTAATGAGTCTTGCGATGTTGGAGATTACGGACGACGCGGTGCTCGAGGAGAGAAGGTTCGAGAGAGAGAGAATAGAGAAGGCGATCGAAAGGGAGATCCCGGAGACGGTGGAGCCTCGGCGACGCCGGAGCTCGGAGACGGCCAAGGAAAAGGTGAGGTTGAAGGTTCCGGTAAGGTCTTTCTGGTTCTTGGTTGTATCTCGTGGGCTGTCTTGTTTCTTCCATTTGACTCAAACGGGTTGGTTTAGGGGTTGGTTAAGTCTAGGATCACTAGGTATAGGTCTGTAGGGGTCGGTTTAGATCAGGGCAGGTCTGTAGGGGTTTATATATATATATATATATATATACATATTATTTGGTTGAACGAATAATAAAAAGTTTCATTTCGTAAATTTTGATAATAAGTGAATAATTATAATGATAAGAATAATGAATGTAGAATTATGCAAATATTTGCGTGTCATGTAGTAAACATGCATGCATTGGACCGTATAGCGTATGAAGTTTTTTTTTTGGTTAAAAAAAGCGTATGAAGGTTTCCCCAACAACAACAACAAAAATCGTGATTAATTATCCCTAATGGCGTAGTAATTAATCCCGACAAATTTCCTTACTCGTTAAGACAAATAGTCAAAACCCTTTCGTCAACGTCATCCATTACGCAAAATTACACCAAACTTTTATTGCATTACTATTATTTTCTTTAGCAAGTTGCCACCAAATGTCACTGCCACCGCTCTTAATAACACCATGACCAGAGAGAGAGAGAGATTAGGGCTAATCAAACGGGAGGTGATGGGACTATGGGGAAGTCCATTCAGCAAGAGAGTGGAGATGGCAGTTCGACTGAAAGGCGTAAGCTACGAGTACATGGAAGAAGACGTTTACAAGGACTTGAGAGCCCAATGCTTCCACAAGAAAGTTCCCGTCCTCCTCCACAACTCCAACCCAGTTGTCCAATCTCTCGTCATCCTCCAATACATCGATGACGTGTGGAGTCGGAACCATCCCATCTTGCCGGGCGATCCGTACGACCACGCCATGGCTCGTGTTTGGGCCAAGTACGTCGATGACAAGGTATATATATGTACGTGTGTAGTGTACCACTTTATTACTCGAGTGGTCTGGTTTGATTATATTTTTTTTATTAGGTAATATGGTTGGATTTGGTTGCACGTTGCATAGGTTTGCGTTTGATAATGGATAGATATTAATTATGTTAGAATTCTGAAGTTTAAAGTTTTAGAATTTAGATTTAACATCATCTATACAGATAGCATAGTATGTATGTATGTATGTATGTATGTATGTATGTATGTATGTATGTATGTATGTATGTATGTATGTATGTATGTATGTATGTATGTATGTATGTATGTATGTATGTATCACGGAGAGTAATGATTCATTCGAAGTGTCAGGAAACTTGCAAATCCAGAATTAAATTGTTTCTGGGGCATTGGGCCTTATTTTAAATGGGCTAATTATTAACGGACCACTCATTATTTTACTTGTATGGCCCACACTATAGAGAGAAGAATATAATTACAGTGCGATTATCAATATATAACCATATTAATATTAAATTAAATAAAATTGAGTGTTGTAGCTTTCTCTACTTGAATAAAAATACCATACATACATACATACATACATACATACATACATACATACATACATACATACATACCATACATACATACATACATACATACATACTATGCTATTTGAATTTGCGATTTTTGGACCGTGATATGTTCACATACATACATACATACATACATACATACATACATACATACATACATACATACTATGCTATTTGAATTTGCGATTTTTGGACCGTGATATGTTCACTTATATGATAAAAAAAATTATGGCTAAAATTTATGATATTTATGTGACAATTTATAAGTGGAAATTACCAAAATTATAATTGAAGACAACTATTACAAAGACTTTTTGGACTTTAGTGCATTATTTTTTTTTTGTTTGCTTGGGACAAAAAACATGGCAATGCAAAATAGCTGGAGAAACTAATCATTGGACATTATTTGTCGAATAAAATTTACTTTCTCGAGTTGTATTAATGAAGACACAGAAAATGACTCTCCCGAGTTGTAATGAAAACAGACCGCTATCATATTAATATTTTTTTTTTTGGATAATAATATATTCGGAAATAGTTATATGGTGATCTCCAACAATGACATTTTCTCTTTTTATTTTTTACAATCTGTTTTTGATAAAATGACAAAAATATGAACCTTCTAAAGCACTTCCTTACAAAATAAAGGAATCTAGACATCGTTGAGGTTCGTAGCCTCATGGAGAAAAATAGTGGAAAAAGAAAGATTTAAAAAGAAAAAAGAAAAAAAATGGATAGTTGCTTTTTCACATACGCAAATTACTTTAATAATAATAATAATAATAATAATAAATCCTGAATTTCTAGCCACAATGTCGACATACAATTTTTCGGAAAGTATATAGCTTTGTTCATATTTGATAAATTCATTTTGATTTCACTGAAATTATTGATTATATGATTAAGACGTGTTCGTGCGCTAATCAAATGTTCTTTTCTCTTTGGATATGCATATATTTCTCTCTCTCTAACTTCATAAATCATAAAAGGTGGACTATGAATACAAGTCACTCAAAAGACTGAAATGTAGATAAACGTGTGATATTTCGTTACGAGTTATGATTTTATTACGAATAAAATAAATATTTACATGTGTGTAGGTCCATACACATATTATATATGTGGCATGCGCGCTGATAAAGCGGTGTGGCTGACGTCAGCACCAAAATCGACCGCATGTGGGTCCCACGTGCCGCATTCGTGCTTTGGGATTCGGTACAAAGAAAGAAACGGAAGTCTCCCTTGTGGGCCCACGCTAAAGATAATGAACCCTCCGATCGGATATGGGTCCTACCTTGCTTCTTCTCCACCGTCCGATCCTCACATGAAACGGCTCTCTCCCCCTATCTAACTCTTCTGTCTTCCGCTAGCTACGAGATTCTCTGCAACTTGATTCGTTACTTTTTCATCGATCTTCGTCTTCCTCTGATTACCACAGCGATGGAGTACTTCTCGATTCTTGTTAATGGAGGATTTTCTCGGAGTTCTTGATTTCTGTGGCGGTGAATGTGATCATCTCTGCTGTTTTGCTTGTACTCCACGTTGTTTCGTTTCTCGCCGACTTCGGCTTCGCTTTTTTCCTTGGTTTCTCTGTAATCGGATACGTCATCGAGATCAACACCGCAAATTTCGACCGATCAATCGTGAAATGCTCGTTATTTTTCGGTTTTCGTGCTGGTACGTCTATTTTCCCATCTGTATATTTCCCGGGAAAATCGGAGAGAAAAATGTTGCTCGGTGATGTGCTTTACGATTCCTTTGATTGTTCTGTTTCTTTGACTGAGGAAATGGAGATATCATTAGAACGGCGAAATAGTGTACTGAAAATGGTTACTACATACCGTTTTCTGGAGATTTTCTGATGTTTTTCTTGTGACTTTCTGAGTTGCATAGCAGAACCCGACGTTGTGTTTGCGTTCAATTCTCGATTAGATCTGTTGTTTCTTCGTCGGGAATGGATTGAGAGCATACATTGCGGTTAATCTAAAAGAATTTCACCTTACGGGGTTCTAGTATTCAGCTATAATTCTGACCTAATCCGTTTGTTTCAATTGCTGATGCTATACTACTGCACGTTTGACATGTCGTGGAATATAAACTGGTTGTGCACTGTGTTCGTGTTTCCCCGTTTTGTTGATAAGAAATCTCTGAATTCACTATCTAGTGTGTAAATTTCTTGAATTGTGTAGATTGAATGGCCTCAAGAACCGAGCTCAGAGGTCTTTTGAAGCAGAACCCAAGGGCTTCAATGATAACAGATGAGAGGTTTCCATCTAGTTCGAGTTCCAAGGACCAGGGAAAGATCAAAGAAAGGAAAAGAAGAGACACAGACAATGAAATCTCGGCCAGATCGAAGGCTATAGGACATCGCAGCAATGATTGTGTCAATGGAAGCTTCAACCGAGATGATGAGCTGATAAAGTACATGTCGAAGTTGCCAGGTTATCTCCAACGTGAGGTGAGAGAAGGTAAGGTATTGAATATTGGAGTGCTGGATTGGGGAAGCTTAGAGAAATGGAAGCACAGCCAAAATGGTGGTCGAGCAACAGAGTGTAATAATGTCTTGTCCAATGGCCCGAGTACATCGGGCAAAACTGAGAGAAAGTTGTCTGCTAGGACTTCAGGGATAATTCCCAAGGACTCTCATCGGTGTAAAATTGATGAACAATCTGCCAGTTGTTCTAACCTCGGTAAGGATTACACTTCTCGAGATCTACAACATTCTGTCCAGAGAGTTCCAAGCACTCTGGAAGCTGAGCCGGTTTCTCGGGATCCATCACATAAGCACCAGAAACCAGGATTTGGCTATAAGTCCTCTGGTAGAGATCATGCAGTAGCCGATCCTGGAAAGGGCAGAAAAACACAACTGAGTCAGGATTTTGGTTCGAGTTTGTTTCCAGACATGGGAAACTCTGAGGGGTCTCTTGATGTGAAGGAAGGGGAAGTTTTTCGAGATGGAGAGAAACAGAAAAGAGTGGAGGGAAAAAGGCATGCTGTGGAAGCAAAGCAGAAATCTTTGAACCCAGTAAGCGATGATGTGGTTATAGGGGGTGGTCAATCTGTAAGATCTTCACAAAAGATCACTACAGAATCTCAAGAGCCAGAAGAAGCTGGTCTTGCTCCCAGAAAACAGGAGAATCAGTTCGGGAATATTGTTCTTCTCCGACCCAGAAAACACACCCGAAGTGCTCTTCCAAGGAAATTCCTGATGTCAATGGATGATGACGCACAAATAGCAAAGCCAGATGAATTCTCTACTTGCTTTGCCAATGAAAGCAGTAATTCCTCAGAGCTACAAAGATCTCAAATTCCTCGCTCCTGCCCACTGTCCCTCGAATTTGGTGCTGAACTTCCATCTGATGCATTATCAGAAAAGGAGCATTCAGAGACAGTTTCAAGGATCCTGGATCAGGAAAAATCTGAAGAGGGATTCAGAAGGAGGAGACACCCTTCACCTGGTAAACGATCGAGCTTCAGCTTCAGTCTTCTGAGCAGGAGTTTCAGTTTTAAGGAGGATTCAGCCATACAGTCTGATCCCATGAGATTTGACGATGTTTCAGAAAAGTGGAATATAAACAGAGGAGCTCGAGCTAGTCCTCTGAGACGACTGCTTGACCCTTTACTAAAGGCTAAAGTTTCTGAAACCGCTGTGCCTGCTCCATAGGATGATGCGCTCTTCCATCCAAACCAAGATCTTCTTCTTCTTCTTACAGTCTAAAGCCAACCGAAAACTGTGTGCCGTTTGAAGATGAACAGACGCAGGATTTGTCAAAAATCACCACCACCACCACCACCACCCGAGCTATTGTTCAGCTTACGATCAGAAATGGCTTCCTTCTGTTCCAATTTGTGGTCGATGATGATAACAGCAGATGTATCCTCGGTGCTACATTGCAAAGCTCGGAGTCATCATCAAGCAAGGATGATGATTCTGCACGACACTGTACATTCTACTCCGTCAATGAAATAAAGAAGAAAAAGAGCGGAGGGAGCTGGCTATTCCACGGAAACAGAGATAAACACCAACGACGACGGGGTTTTGTCTACAACAAGGTTGGTCAAATGCGGCTTATCAACTCTCTGGGCTCAGATTTTACAGAGCTGAGAGAATCAGTCTTGTTCGAGTTAGAGCTGAACCAATCAGACAAAGCGTCTGAGACAACAAACGGGAACAGTGAAATTGCTGCTATGGTGATCGAGAGTTGTGGTGAAAACACGATCATACTTCAGGACGGAGTTCATGGATTCCCGAACAAAGGAGTGCCATCGCCGTTGATCGAACGGTGGAGAACGGGTGGGTCATGTGACTGTGGAGGATGGGATATCGGATGCAAACTCCGTGTCCTCTCCAACCATAGACGACCCTTCCATGAATTCCACGAAAGCTTCCGACTTTGGGATCAGGTAACTCGATAGAAAAGAGCCCATTTAGCCTCAATAACACACACATACATATGTGTGTATTTATATATATATGTCCTTGACAATGTTAGTTTTACGTGGCAGGTAGGGGGGAGTCAGCAACATGAATCGGCGGCATTCAGAATGCGTGGGATGAAGAAGGGAATGTACAAGGTAGAGTATGGGACGTCGACGATGTCGCATCTACAAGCATTTTTCACTTGTGTCACCCTTATTACCACTGAGTCTGAGCATCAACAACGATCTGACGAACCCCAACCAGTGGCGAGGAAACCAGAGGAGCAGATGAGGAGGAGGAAGAACAGAGAGATGGCCTTTAGGCTCTCTCCTTTCAATCCGCCATTATCGCCGGTTGGTAGAGTCTAAAAAGACAAATACACACATCCACAGGTCACACACACAAACGCCGTTAATGTCTGTTCCACGAAGTACTGAAACTCTGTTTGTATAGAGAGGAAAAAAACACGGAACATATTACTCTGTGGCCCCCCCCCCCCCC